GGATCCCACCAAACGAAAAGGGAGTTTAGTGCCACACAACTCAACTGAGCAGCGACGAATACCCATTCAGCCTTGGTACATATCCCCGCAGTATATCCCCCCCAAAAAACAAAAGTAGAACCAGTCGGGCAGCCTTTTTCCCCTCAGGGATCTTCAGCTTTTGTATTCCAGAGCGATGGGGAAGAGCTCTACTTGGGTGTTCCGCCAAGCCAGCAAGTTGCTGGTGACCTAGGTTCTTCCACCCTAAGTGAAGCTAACCGGGTTATAACCCAGCCATCTAACCACTTACTCACTTGGACGAACTTCCAAGTGGAAGCTCCACAGATCCAGTTTCTTTTGAAGGGACCTCGAGTAATCAAGCTTGGCTCCTGTTTGGGGGAAAGGGGCAGGGGGGCCGCGATTTGCTTTTGTTTCCAGGAACAACAGCCGCTGAAGGCTGTCAGGTTGTTGCCAAAAGCCAAAGGTTTCAATTTTGTTTCAAAGGGACGCCGAAGATAAGTTGCAAAGGCTTGGCACAGCATCCCCAGAAAGGATTTCGGTGGAGTCTGCCCCCCCCTCCCCCCGCCTCGGCAGGATCTGATCCTTCACTTGGCGGTACCTCAAGGCGTGAAACACCCCTAGGTCCGAAGAAAACCCCTTTCCCCGGGTGAAACTCTTGGTATGGCAGCAAAAATTAAAAACTGTCAGGGAAGCATTAAAACCACCCCAGAACAGAAATTAAAGTCAAATGGAAGCGAGTCGACCGTGTCAAGCTTCAAGCTCTTGCTATGGTGGGTATGTGGCCCCGGTATATACTCTGCGTCTGCCGTATATGGATCTGAACTTTAATTGGGGACCTTTCGTGGACATCGTTAGGTGGGGATTCATGCCCACCAAACACTTCTGAGGTGGGGGCCACATGGGTGTGAATGTTGAATGGCTTGATGGACATCATTTGCAGATGGATGTATATCCACCCACCATTTTGGAAGGGGTTCCCTTCAAATCTCACAGACATCATAGCCATAGGGGTCAGTATCCCCAGATGCATGTTGAGGGCATGTCCCTCAGGGCACATCATACTGTCCCTTCAAAGCAGCGCTCCGAAGCAACACACATGCCGAAACAAGCTCGGGTTTCAGCTGGTGCTCATGGTCGGCTGCCAATAGATCATTGCCGCAGAACATCTGCAGCCCTTTGGCTGGGTGCTTTTTAGGGCGTCTGGAAACACTTCAACAAATGGCCCATCCACTTTTGGTGAAACCAACATAACTTCAACACCATGGGTTGCATATTGCGGATGGACAAACTTCTGCACAACTTTGTAGGTGGAGCATGGTGGAGCACCCCCGTGCGAGAGTTTCAGAAGCATCCCCACTGGTGCCGATCAAACTTTGGTCATCCACAGCACCCAAGTGGGGGAAGATTGATTGGTGTCCCTTGCAAATGAACAAACCATGAGTTGACCTTTTGGAACCCAAAAATGAGGGCCACTAGTGGAATACCAACAATCAAACCATCGTTTTCAGCCTAAAATTGGATATGCCATGCCTGGACCCTGAAAAATTGGATTGGAAGATTGGCCAAGAAGACCCAGACATTTATTTGACTAGACCTCAAATCCAGTCAGGTTTGGGGAAACCCGCAGAAGCCAGCGACACCAGTTGAGACCTACAGGAAATCTACAAGCTTTGGGTGGGTGTGACGCCAGTGGCAGGGTGTTTGGAAATCCGATTATTTAAGGAAATCCCAGGTTCGGCTAATTAGTTCTGACTCGTGTTCGGAAGTGAGGTAGGGCACTCGAACTTCTTGTGGAGGTAGGGCACTTTCTCCAGCACCTCGAAAGGCGCGGGAAGATCCCTGCAAGGGACGTCAATTGATTTTGCGATCGATGCAGAATTGACCCGAAAGGAGCTCAGAAAGTGGCAGTCCCCGACTTTTTGTGGGAAGCTTGAGTCCCATGTCTCTGCCAACGTTCCTTTCCCATAGATTATACTGAGAACCTTTGTCAGCACCGAGCAAAAAATACAAATACCAGCAAAAAGGTGGATGAATTATCAATCTCATCCGAACCCCAAACTCATCTCAGATTGCCCCACAACCGCAACCCAATCCACCCCAATCAACCCCGAAAAGAGCCCAAATCAACAGTTCATCCCAAATCAACCCCAACATCCCCAGTCCCCCTCAGACCCATCCCGTGGCAAACATTTGAATCGATTCGGCCCTGGGAAAAAGAAAGAAAGTGATGAACCCCTAATGAGAAGACCCCCATCTCTCAACATCAACCAACCTCAGGTTCTGCTGATCCATCCAGGGTTCCCATTTGGCTGTGGGTCAAAAATAGGCACCCAAAATGGCGTGCCCTAAATGGACACATGGACGAACATCTGCGGTCCATATCCTGGTGATTTAATATTGACCCACACCCATTTCACTCACCTGGATCTTGAGATCCGGGGGCCCCCCCGGCACCCCCCCCCCCCCGGATCTGCCCGCCCCCCCCCCCACCCCCCCGATCCCCCCACCCCAATCCCTGATCCATCCCGCTCCCCGCTCCATCCGATCCGAGCCGAAGTTTCGGCCTCGTTGAGGATCGTAGGCTCCTGGAGCTCCAAACACCGCAGCAGGAAGGGCAGCAGGATGGACTCGCCAGCCGCTCGCTTCAGCAGGAAGGAGAGGGGGGGCTTTCCGTCCCGCGAAAATGAGAAAAACATATGTTCAGTAGGTTTACTGACTACCTTTAAAAGCATGGGGAAAATAGAACATGTTCTTGAGCGAATGAAAGGTACCACCTGCTTTGAGACAAGGTTGGACGTACCTCCAAAGGAAACCAGAGCTGCTTTTGCCTCCGTGCAGCTCGTTGCAAGGCCTGAACCCCACCAAAGCGAGCCTACATGGGACATCGCCCTTTGATGAGGGCACTCCCCCTCATTTTTGGGTTCAGCTATTTTCCCTGGTTGCAAAATTGGGGCGCATTCTCCAGCCCCCCAGACCGAGCGCGCGCCTGGGTGTCTGCGGCTGGGGCCAGGCCCACCAGAAGGTCCAGCTCTTTCAGGAAAAGGATGACCACCTGGGCGAAACGGGCAATATAAAGCACTGAAGAAAAAAATAGCCACAGCTCGATGACTTTGAAGAACACCAAAGGGAAAACCATGGCATTTTGGCGGTCCCAATTACGATAAACACCCAAATAATTGATATTGCCTCCTATTACGGTGATTTCCTATGTGGTTTGAGGGTCAGGTCAAACCACGGGTGGTCCACATGCATCACGAGCATCACCAGCATCATCAACACCAACACACTGTTGAGCACATTGCTCTTTTTGACCCCCCCAGTGATGCTGAGCAACATGTTAGAACAATAGAAAAGCGTTCGAATGCTTTAATCTCCTGAAAATTCGTGGAAATACCTTCAGAACTCTTTGCTCAGGGCGTCCTGCAGTGTGGAAAGTAGGAACTCCAAGTCCTAAGTGATGGCCAAAAAAAATCAATGCTTCTCTTGCACCAAGCTCGTTCGCAGTAGTCTTCATCATCTCTTTAAGTCCTATCCCAAAACTTGCCCACCACCACAGTCAAACAAAACCAACAACAAGAAACATGACCAAAAACTCAAAACCACCACAAAAAACCGCCGTGCCCCGGCTTTGCCCCGCACAAGTCTCCGGCTTCTGCCGAGTTTTGTCTTTCCCCCGGGCCTCGATGGGGATCTCCTTGGCGCTGAAGAGGGGCTTCAGCGCGGGCCAGAGCTTCGCCTGCGACGAGTCAGAGTCCCAGGCCGAGCTCGTCTGTTTGTTTTTTTCCTTCGTCTGTTTCGTTTGTGTTTCTGTCTTGTTTTTTGTGCGGGGGAACTAGCCCCCCGGTTGGGCGGTTTTATTTGCTGCTGCGAGAAGTGGGTATGGGTGAAAATTAAGCCAGGAATTGGACCGCAGGTTTTGGTCCATGTTTCTGTTTGCCAGGGCAAGCCATTTTGGGTACCTAGTTTTGACCCACAGCCAAGTAGGGAATGAGAAATGGAACGACCCCAAGAAGAACGGTTCATGGGGAATCCCCTCCCGGTTCATTCCCACATTCCCTGCTGAGCACCATCAAGTTCAAAAGCTAAACCAAAGGGAAACCAAGCGAAACCAAGGGGACCGCTATTTTCAGAAACACCCAAATTGTCTCAATGAGAATCCATCCATCCTTGGATCAGATGTTTGCTTTTTGTTGCTATGCTGAAATTAAGAGCCAGTCAGGTTTTGTGGGGAGGGTATCCAAGGGTTGATTCCAACCATTCTCTTCACCCGAATTCCGGGGTTTTGCCGACTGCCAACTGCTCAAACCGTCAAATGCTGAACCAAACTTGGGGTGAACAATCCCACCGAGGCGACAAATCCGAAGAAATTCCTCCCCTGCAAATCAACATATGGAGTCCAAAACAAGAAAACCAGGCGTCCCAAAAGGACATCCCTCTACAAATGAGTGTCAGGGGAGACTTGGATCTTCTTCAGGGTTTTGTTTAAATCTTGGAAGCTCCAGGGCTTTTCTGGGCGGCAAAGTTCCAGCGCAAGGGCGAAAAAGCTTCAAGCTGCCAGGACCAACCTGCCCTCCGGCAAAACCTGGCAAAACAAGTGCAAAGGAACGGCCTCAATTTCAGGGCTTCCTTCCCGGCAAACCCGGGCGACAGGCCGATAGGCACAGCCCACATTTTTTCCAATGATCTCTCTCGCACCGTTGCCCGGCGCCGAAGCGATACGCTCCTGGTCCTGCTTTTGGATTGTTTTCAATAGCGCGAGCTTGGCATACGTGCCACTTTCAAATGAAAGCATGCTTGCAAGAGGAACAGGACCAGTCTTGGGAGGAAAATCGATATGGTGTTCCGAGGTCAGGTTCTTTCACGTGTGACCGTGTTGGTCCAGTCTGCTCAAAGCCATATTCTGATTCAGAGGGATAGCAAAGCATTGCAGCCTGATAGCGAGTATTCGTACCATAAGGATCGCCTTCAAATGTCTCCCTTCTGTCCAAATTGCCAACCTCCCAGATTGGCCCAACAAAACTCGGCTCCCTTGCGAGTTGGCTTCGAATCAGAATTGATCAAAGGGGCAGAAGATAGGCCCGTCAATGCCACCGTCATTTCAGGAGCCCTCGCTTGCCGGCGGCAAAGGCAGCCAATGCCAGATCGAAGTCCTGATGGACTTGGCCATCACAAAAAGGCATCTGACTGGCCGATCGTTGAGAACTGCATATGTATGTATCTCTATATGTTTATACTGCAATATTGTGTATGTATATCTGTCTTATATATATATATACATATATGTATATATATATATATTTATCTAGCTGTACGCATATACTATATTAATACCTCTATACATTCATATTTCCATATAGTTCAAAGGGCGTTCCCGCTTCACAAAACAAGCTCCGGCCAACTGGGTAGTAGTTTCGCCGCCACAATATTCTTAGATGTATGTTTACACGTGCAAATGATCGCTACGTATGCGTGTAAACTATATATATATATGTGTGCAACCATGCTACTCTCATGGACCCGTGTTTGGTGTTTGGTGGTGTTGTTTCGATGTTCCCGGTGACTGGCGGGACCTGTGGATGAGTGTTTGCAGCTGGCTGCCTTTGCGGAAAGATTCGCAGAAATTGCCATGTGCTGCATATGGACAAAAACAGAAGTTGAATGGGTTGCGCCAAGCCTTTGCCACATGTGCTTTAAACAATCTTCGGCTTCCCTGTCAAAGGGGACAATATATCTAATGCATGGTAAGTGCAGATTCTGAATTGCATGTAGTCTTAGATATAAGATATGTTCTGAGATCCAACAAAAGCAAGCACGATGGCTGAAGCAATGTTGGAACTTGCCAAAGCTCTGGCCCATGTTGATGCTACCATTCTTGTGAGAAACGGAAGCCGGAACACCAACCACTGGCCTCATTATTTTACCATGATCAAAGTCACCCCCTAAGTGGTGGGTTAAAGGGAAACAACCACATTTTCTGACTTTGACAACCCCCAGAAATAGCCAAAAGAATGACCCCAGAACCGATGTGAGGGGTTCCCGATTTGGAGACGCCATGTGTCGTCCTGTCCTCCTCCGTCAAGCCGTGGGGCGTGCGGACGCAGGTGACGCCAGGGCAGCGGTGGGCCACGTCCGCGCAGTTGTCGCTATAGGTGCAGTCGTCAAAGAAGATCATCTCCTGAGAAAAGGGGATTGTTTGGTGCCCCCTACCAGGAAAAGTGGCATAAAGTGGCATCTCCTGACAGAGGGGGAGTTGTCCCTACCAGGGAAAGAGGGGCCCAGTGCACTGGGGGAGAAGGGATGGTCGAAAGGATCTAAAAGGCGACAAAGACATACTTTGGATGGATAAAATCCTGGAATGGATGAAATCGCGTGAATACTGAGGTGAACCACCTGCCAACCATTAAAACAAAGGAGATGCCTGTTCTGGTGATGCTCTAGCAATGCTTCAAGGAGACGCATGACCCTGTTCAAGGGTGCTTCCTAACATAAGAACTGGACTAATGGTCGGCTTGCCTTGTTTCCACACTTTGGGGCGCCAATTTGAGGCAGGGTAAAACATGCACCTTGGGACAACCTTTCCCTGAGTGCTTGACTGTTTCTTGAAAATGATAGGTCCTGCAAAGGAGCCACTGGAATTCTAGGGTGCATGGAAAGGGAACGTCAAATACCTTAGCTCTCCTCGTAGGGGATGCCGGACTCCTCTTTCAGCTTTGGAAAGTGCTGTCCGCCTTTACCTGGAGCGCGTGGAAGGCTGGCTCCGACAACTCGTGTTGGCCAATCCCAATCTACGCCACTTCCCAGGTGCATGTTTGGATTGCACCTCTGGGGGTCTCTAAGTAAAAACCAATCTGCTTCATTGAAGCGGGCTTGTGTTGGATCCCAGTCCATGCCTAGCCTTCCACAGTGCCATGGAACCTGCCGTTTTGGTGTCCTTGGAAGACTACGTCTTGAGAGTAACCCTCTGGGTTCTATGTTAGTGGTTGCATGAGAATATTGCAAAACCAGCAAACAACACCCTTTTTTTGTCTCTGGCCCAATCTCTGTGCCACACGTGTTCACTTACTTTCCCAAATTGCAGAGGAAGGCCGCAGGAAAGAAACCACCTGGGGTCACTTGAACACATCATGTGCAGGGGATTTCCATGGGCAGGGGCACCCTTTCGGTAGGTGACTGTAAGGGAACCCCTCCCAGCAAGAAGTTGAAAAACTACTGCTCAAAATCCCAGGAGGGGAGAGCAGGAGTTGGGTTTTCAGGCGGTTCGCCATAAAAACCTCCCCCGCCGCTTCCGCCGCTCCCAATTAAACATATTGTCAAACCAAACATGATTAGAGTTAGGCCCAGTGATAGAATGTATATTTTATTGTTTGCTTCAACTTGAGTCACTGGTAAAATGTAAAATGCATCCTAAGTCTACCCCAGCAAAAAGCAGCCTGCTCTTTTTGTTGGTGCTGATGGTATTCAGCGGTTTTGGCGCATCTCAGGACACTGAGATCCCTTTGCTCGGCCGAACTGATCCGACCCCTGCAAAAAGTCGGCTTTTCGCTGGTCAAAAGCGCCAAAAGGCAAGGTCAGTCTGGCCATGTCAAGTGGATTTCTATTGGAAGGACATGGCCCTTTGGTTGCCCTTTGATCCATTTCCTTTCCTTTGGGTGAAGAACTCAAATCCAGGCGCTGCCCGGGTAGATCTGACGGAAGTGCAGCAGGTCGCCCAGCTTGCGCCCGTTGAGGGGGAACTCCTAGCTGTGGTCAGCAGGGAAGGAGGGATGGAATGACCCCCAGCCCTCTATGGTGAACCACCCAGTCGAGTTCTCAGCAGGGAATGAGGGAATGACCCCTATAAACCATCCCCTAGAGTTTGCTTTCAAGGAATCCCCTTCGGGTTCAGTTTCAGCACCCGGGCTCGGTCACTCCCTGATGAGCACCAGCAAGTAGTGACTTTGAATAATCATATATTTTTGTGCACTACCCTAGCTCCAACAATCATGGAAGCTGACAGGAGGGTTTTGGAAGACCAGGTCCCTTTGGGAAAACCATGGTTGATGGGAAGCAGGCAACATGGAACCCAAGAGTCCCTTTTGACGGAAAATCGTCCAAAGGACCCCGATTCGTCAGGTTTGGCAACGACAGGAGCATGCCCCACCAATAGATGACTAATAGATGCGGTTAGTAATCCTCTGGAAATTCCCGGGAAATGGATGGGAAATCCTTAGCTCACTGGTTTCCTCACTGCAGAACCCTGTGGAAACCCTGTGGAAACCAGTTTCCACAGCTCCATGCCAATCCAAGTTGTTTCCTCACTATGGGCGCCGGATCTAAGCAGAGCCCATCCTGCTAAGGGAGGGAGAGACTTCGGGCCGCAAGAAAGCGATCCGCTATAGCCGCTGGGCACGTACCATTTAATCAAATCAACCGGTTGATTAATACCTGGACCTTGGCCTAAATCTAAGGTACATAAAACAACATGTTCAAAGGTTGCTCAAGATTTGGTCCACCCTATGTAGCAAGATAAATTTGGAGGCTCCAGGGACCCTCAAACTACCCGTACACTTTGGAAATCACACCAAAACAATACGTATATCAAATATTTAGGCGTAAGTCTTGGTGCTAAAGGGAACCCAAACATTATGGGGTGCTTTCACCTGTTCCAGGGTAGTTTGGGGGTTCAGGGACCAATTCAAACCCACCAAACAAAAAAAAGGATCAGGGTGAAATGCATTGAAGTGGGGGGCTGGGCAGGTTGGGGGTTGGGGCCTTCAGCCCCAGCAAAGACTTATTCAGAGCACTTGACACAAAGGCCTGACATGGGGGTTAGTGCTGTTTGCTTTGTTGGATTGCTCAGTGCTCTTCCGCTTCTCAAAAACAGGTCCACCCGCCAGCCGGGAAAAAAAAACACCCCCGCTTGAGAGTGATTCCGCCAAACCTGAGCGCTACACGACACTATCCGTGGGTCCGTTGAGTCAAGACGGGGTAACGGTTCCTTTTTTTTACTAGGGCTGGTTTTTCCTAGGGCTGGTTTTCCGCAGGGCTGGCAACATCCCCAGCAGCACCAGCATCACTTGGACCTGGGGTTGCCTACGGTGGCAGTTGGGAGTTGCTGGGGGCTGGTTGAAGTTAGGGGGGCGTTTGGCTAGCTTAGATCTTCATGAGGCTGGGTCTTGGGGTGGTTTGGGGTTGATGTAGGCGAAGCGAAGGGCTGACATCCAGGCTGCTGTTGGGCGGGTTTGGGGTTGACTTTGAGTGGGTTTGGGCTGCTGGTTTCGCAGCGGTAGGGTTGCTTCAGGCTGTGGTGCCCCACCAACGCCCCAAAACCGATCCGAAACGAGACCAACACTCACTTAACCAACCAACCCACCCACCCACCCACCAACCAACCAGTGGACCAGCCCTAGTTTTAAGAAAACAGAAAATAAAAAAAACTAGGGAAAACAAAAACACCGGATCCGTCAAGACGGGTAAGTCAAAAACGGAATCTGGGCCATGAAAAAGGCTTAAATTTCTTGTGGGTTCCCTCAAAATCAGCCCTGACAAGGGAAATCCAGAATCTCCATGATGGTCGTAACCACAAAATTAAGGGGTCAACCACATGGTTTTCAGGTTTAGAAGGAGGCTCCAAGGACTTTGCCCCTCCTCCAGGCACTTTTGCGCGAAGCCAGGCTCCTGGCGCAGCAAGTTGCCATGTCCATTTGTCGAGTCGACCACAACAGCGGACGAGCCTAACCTTGGTTGCTGCAACGACCCCCCTGCAAAAAGTTGTTCACTTTTTGGGGGTTTAGTGGAAAACACACCTTTATTTCAACCAAAAAGTTAAAGTCTAAAGATCCAACCCAATAGCCGTCAAGTAACCCTGCAAGGAATCCTGGAAACTGGCACCCCCCGTAAATTGTGTTCGGGAAGCCAGAAGAAAGCCATGGAAAACACAGCCGCGAATGTGGGCAAATGGGCGCCATAGGGCCTTTGCACTTCCGGCAACTGTCCCTCCTTGACTTGGACCAGGCCTTTATTGACTTCAACCCATGAGTTGTCGTGCTCGCGCTTTCTTCGCAAAAAGCATCCAACCTACAGACAATTTCTTCAATGTAGCGAACCTGGCACTATCCCACATGGGAAGACGTGGCGGGAGTCAGGCCAGAGAGAATCGTCGTCTAAGGTGTCTATTTCCTCACGTAAGTTGAAGCCAGCAACTACATTTACCTTTATGCAACAGAAAAGCGTTTCCTTTTACTAAAGCATTGGTGATGAGAGCGCCATCTACTTTTACACACATTTCTTTATTGAAACCTTGGTGTGCTGGGGGTGTCGACCACCTAGTCGACATGGCGGGTGGAAAAGGGATTGGCCGAAACAGGAGACGCTTCAAGCCCCCAGTATAACAATGGATCCATGGGCCCCAAGTTAGATCATGCAAATCCTGAAGGCTGGACAATGGTTCATAAACCTCGCTGGCTTGTAACCAAGGGCCCCCCGCAAAAGCAGGCTTTCCCTCCAACAACAGCTCGGTTTTGATGGGGCGCTATGTAAATTTGGAGTCAGGGTGCGACCACAAGTCGTTGTTTGGCCGTCCAAAGCCCAAGCCGTGCTGAACTTTGGGGTTGGTCATTCAAGGAAAACGAAGAAACCTGGCTTCGCGCATCGCGACATTGGAAACTCCAAAAAGCAAGAGGCACCGATCTGGGTGTGTCCTTTGTTGGTGGTACCCCTTTTTGGGGTGGGTTTCAAGGGATTCCAAAAGGAAAACCACCATTCTGCAGGGTCCCCTAAAAAAACACAACCCGATATGCCCCCCCCCGGCCCACCCACCCGCCCACTCCGTGGTGGAGGACGCCACCGCAAGCTTCACCCGCTCGAAGCGCTTGCCGTCGGCTCCGTCGGCGAGGCGCTGCAGCACCGCTGAGGCGCCGGGGAAGAGCTTCACCTCGGGCGGACGGGCGAGGGCCCTAGGGCCCAAGGTGAGTCACAATCAAAACCCAGTACAAGAATGGTCGACCCAGAACCATGTAAAGAGCTAAGAAGGCGGAGATCCGCGGCTATTTATGGTTGGGATTGTCCCTTACTAAACTTGACTTACCCGGGTTTTGATTGTGGCTCAGGTGATGCTTCATGTTGACCCCATGTTAACCAACCCCAGTTTGTTAATAGGGTGCTTCTGTTAAGAAACCCAAGTCTTAGTAATAGGGTGCTTTCCCGTGGTGAAATGTGGGATTTGGATGGGAACACCCCAGTATTTACACGCTGGGGTTGATGAATACGGACGGGGTCAATCAGTAGAACGTTTTTACTTCGAACACTCCCCGCGTAAGCGAGTTGCTTGACGAAGCACGACTGCAACCACAGAGGCACCAAAAAGATCAAGCCGACTGTGCACGGGGCCTCAAGCATGAGCGCTGACCCGTTGCCGCAGTCAAACTTCCTGTTTGGTGGCCTATCGCCAGAGGTGTGACAGTCCGAAGCTTCGCGCTCAGCTTGAATCTGGCAGAAGCCTCATGCTTCGGACTGTGAGGCTTCAGGAGCCGCAGTATCCGGCAATTGAGCAAAAACGGATACATTCAGCCCGACTGCTCTCAACACTGCACACACACACACACGCCTGCCACATAATCAGTTGGCACACCGGCTCAAGCACTCCCGCGCGGCGCAGCAAGATAAGAACACCCGCTCAGGCGCGTCCGCACAGCACTGCGCACACGCCTGCTAAATGACAAGCACACTGCTCAAGTGCGCTTGCGGAGCACTGCACACACACACACACACACGCCAACACATGTTCACCACCTTCAGAAACATTGCAGGTCCTGGCAAATACGACGCGTTCTAACTGGGCCGAACATCCAAGTGGAAAAGCGAATCAGCCCATTTGGCCAGCCAACGCCATGGCCTGCATTTTCGGCGGGGCACAGTATCTCTGCCTGCCACGACGCCACCTCGCTTGCTGCAGTAGGCGTCAGGGGCGGAGCTCAGCTCGTACATCTCCGGGGACCACATACAGGCGTCCAAGTCCTGAGCTTTCGACGATTTTCGGGGTTCTGTTTTGAGACTCAGTGATACTATTTACCTGTATAGTAGGTAACCTTGGGAACCACCCTTCAAAAACTTCATGGAGAATGGCTGGTTACCCGTGGTTACCTATACTACTGGTAACCGGGATCCACTGGGACTGGTAACATGGATGGGAAAACGAGTTGGGGATCCCCATGGGTCCGAACTCGAATGCAGACTGTCATGTTTGACTGTTTTGGGTTTCATCGCCATGCGGATTCCCTCTTTGCCTGCACCCTCAAACGGCGCATGAAGAAAGCCAGGGCGGTGTCCCTTTCAGTGTCGTTTGAGCACCACTTGCGCCCCACAATCCGAAAGCGTCTCTCCACTGAAACCCTTTGCCATGCCTAGGAGTGAAAGGATTGCGAGCCTTCTCCCGGTGCCGAATGCATTTGGTCAGAGGCGAAAAGCGCAAGGCAAGCCAAGCAACACCATGGCAGGTATCAAAATGGGGATTCGGAGGATTCACACCCCCTAAAAAAAACAGAGGTGTTCCTGTTTGTGGAGATTCCAGTGCCGAGGAATTCCCAGGCGTTCTGGTTCTCAAGGCCTTTTAGGCGTTCTAGTCGTATTTTGCGTTATTTGCGGGCGTTTGCCCATTTTTTGCGGGCGGTTTGCAGAAATTTGCGCGCGTTTCCTGTTTCAAGGCGTTTGAGACTTTGTGGGTGTTTGCGTCCAAAAATGGGCCAATGCCGAGAACTACTAGGAATTCCTTGACGTGTTAATCTCCAGATTGGTTTCAACCTAAAAACCAACCTTTAAACAGGGTACCGAGACACAAACACACACACAAACAAACAAACACACACTCACACACACACAAACAAACAAACAAACAAACAAACAAACAAACAAACACACACAAACACACACACCACACACACACACACACACACACACACACACACACACACGCACACGCACGCACGCACGCACGCACGCACGCACGCACGCACGCACGCACGCACGCACGCACGCACGCACGCACGCACGCACGCACGCACGCACGCACGCACGCACGCACGCACGCACGCACGCACGCACGCACGCACGCACGCACGCACGCACGCACGCACGCACGCACGCACGCACGCACGCACGCACGCACGCACGCACGCACGCACGCACGCACGCACGCACGCACGCACACACACACACACACACCCACGCACACCCACGCACACCCACGCACACCCACGCACACCCACGCACACCCACCCACCCACCCACCCACGCACGCACGCACGCACGCACGCGCACACACACACACCATATCCACCAAGGGGTCCAACATTATGCAGCCCCCCCAAAAAAGGCACACAGTCGGGGCTTTGCACAACCCAACCTTCAATCGAATAATGCTGGTAATACATTTGGCAGCTCAGGCTAACTTGCTTAGTTCGGGTATCCACCAGTTAGAGGGAAGCTGATTTGTCCTCTCCTACTATTCAAAAAAAGAAGCACAAATATTTTGATTGCTTGATGTTTCATTCTCTGCACCCATCCTTATTTTCAGAAACCATCCCCCTTGCCCTGCAATCTGTCTCGTGCTGTTCTAAAGGCGTTTGCAACTTGCAAAACTGGCGGACAGCACGCTCCCAACCAAACGCAGGCATGGGTACACATATATAGATACATAGATATATAGATATATATATATATACATATACACATGTGTGTTGCTATGTTGTGGGAAAACACACACACACACGTTCCCCAAGTTCTCTTTTGAGCCACCCGCCGGGTTCTCTGACTTAGACCATTTCAGGTGGTTAGTTTTCTTTGGGTCCCTTCAAAACAAACAAGTGACTCAAGTTAGTACACGCCTGTCCTTTTATCAACGGGGTGTCGCCGTTTGGCTAAAATGAAAACAAAAATGGGGACCAACCATTTTTGTTGGGTTCCCTTACTTGGGTATGTGTCAAAATAAGGGGACCCTCAAAATGGCGAACTTTTCCTTATGGTGTCCCTACAAACCAACTCCAAAACGGAGCCCGAACCTTAAAACCCAGCAAAGGAGGCAAGCAAAGGTCTGCCCAGCCGCAGCAGAGTCCCCACACCTCTTGCTGGGGTACACAGAAAATAATATGTTCAGAATCTAATTCATATTTAGTCTACTAAGATTGTGTAGTGTTCGAGGACAGCCAGTCCTTCAAACGTAAAACCCGCCACACTACTGGGAGCCTGTCGGCGTTTCTATGGTGATGGACTCTACTGGTAAATGAAAAAGGAACCAACTGAGTCAGAATTCGCACCTTGCATTCAATTGGTCTGCCCAAAACCCATGTAAAGAATTACCAGGGAGGTCTTGCCGCACCTGAAAACCGTGGAATCCCATCCTAGCTTCGACCAAACTGAAACCAGGGACATGTGCTGTCTGTTCAAGGACAAGGCAGAACTAGGTGCACCATATTTGTGTTGGGCTTCCGTTAACTGGCAACCTGTGCTTCTTCATAATCCCTACAGAAACTCACCTTCGGCTGTGTCATGGAAACGGGGAACCCTTAGAAACAGTTGCCTGGAGTAGTCTCAACGCACTCCAGAACCGTCCCTAGCAACCCGACTAAAAGTGTGTCTTGACCGTGGCACATGCGAGCAGCACCCAAAACTCCTTGGCAACATTGTTAATCAGAGAGGTTTGCATAATCAAGGACTGTGGCAATGGTTTGTGGTAGGAAAGGATGAGGAAGGAAGAGGCCTTGTAATACAATCCTCCCCCTTCCAAGCAAAAAACTAGCCTGGTAAGAGAACTCCCGACTAACAGGCTGGCCTCACATCTCTGCCACCTGTAACAACAGCAAGTTGAAATGCATTTGCGTCAACTAATCATGATAGACCCGCGTATCCAACAATTTGGCCAGCAGCAGCTTTGGGCGCAGATGTAAGTAGCAGTTACAGGCCCCCAGCCCCCAGATCTTCCGAGACTCAAACACGATGAGCGACGGCAGCATCACGTGCGAGTCGCGGAATCGCGCGCGCGGAATCGCCCCAAAAAAGAAAGCTCCATGCGTAGGAACGGCGTTTCACTTTGTGGGAAGCGGGCCCCACAAAAGTGGGGTTTCCTTCCGTTGATTTGTAGGTGGGTTCGGTCGAGGTCGTCCGAGGATGCTGTGAGCACATGCCAACCGGAATGCTGTATCTATTTGAGTATGTGTTGGGACATATGGGGACCCAAGCAGGTTGGTGGGTTCCCATTGGTGTACCCTGAAAAAGCACGCACAAATGTTGCACACGTTGGACACAAAAAGGCTTGCCCAGTGGCATGGGTCGAGATTGAGAGGCAATCAAGGCAGACTGCTTGATCAAAAGCACGGCGCGGCTCTGGTCGCGTCATAACTCCGACAGCCACCAACCGTCCTTGCTGATCCATCAAAAAGAACGCTTTTTGAAAGACACTCTTTTTGGGACGCAGTGGGAAATTCCACACTCACATACTTAGTCCCTCGGCAAAATGGCATAGACTAGCTTGCCTGAAAAAGGTGAGCTACCCCGAGTCGCAATTGTTGCCCCAAACGCCCTTCAAAAACGCCCCAGTTTCTTTGCTATCAGTCTAAATAATGGCCCGATGGGGACGCAATTTAGATGAAACCCTGCACGGCAAAGAGTCGTGGTTGTGCCTGCATTATATATATATATACATAATATATATATACATATTATATATATACATATATACCCAGGGCATCAAAAGACATGAGTAAACATCGACTCATACGTCTTTATCGAGTAAACATGGTCTTGGCAAATTTCACGCTCATTCACGCTATGAATTTTCACCGGTACTGCCACTTCACAGTGAGACATCGCAAAAGGGCCACACGAGCAACGCCTGTCTCACGTCGGACTTTCAACTCTTTGCGCGCTACGGTCAGAAGCTTCATGCCATCTTCATCACAAAACGTGTTGTAGAAGCGAGGGTTGCATCCTTGGATCAAAATGGACTGCGCACACACGTGCGCACAGGCACACAGTATACGGCACGCATACATGCATGCATTGAGCAGCCAAGTGGCGGTTAGCCTTGCAATCTGCGCATACATGCGCAAGCGCCCAGGAACCACCGCGATTTGTGCTGATGTAATTGGTACGCTAATTCGGACCCCCACCGTTAATGCAAGCTAGGAGCGTGAACCTTGGGCACGCACACCCAGGCCAGCTGCGGAAAGGCCGCGCTCATCGAAGTGAGGCGGAGGTGCTCCTTGATGAAGCGCCGCCCAGCTCGAGCAATCTCTGCTGCCTCGACGGCCTTCCTGATCAAATCGGGCTGATGGCATTCCAGCAGGGGTCTCTTTTACTCGGTATCAATCACTATAATTTTCGGGGCCCAAATGTCGATCCTTCTCTCCCCTCGCTAGCAAATGCCATGCCAAAATAAAAATCACGTTGTCGCATCAATCAACCCGGTACCCCATCCATCGTTCGAACCAATTTCAATTTGCTTAGGGGACTACCATGGAGTCATCTCACTGCCGTGCTCACTCCTACCCAATGGCGCGGCCGAGACGCAAGAACCTCGAGGACCGCTCCATCAGCCCGAAAAATCGGCACAAAGCATTCCTTGGATCAGAAATTTGATTGATTGGGGTTTATCGATCCGTTCAGGTCACGGGCCATTCAAAAGGGTATAATCATTATGGCACCTTTTCGTTACCTTCCTGGGTCAAGACACTCTGGACGCAATGGCAGAGAGAGAAAGAGAGAGCGAGAGACTATGATGATGGAAAGCCGATAGCCTGTTTAACACAGCCCAGCATCACGACCCTCAAAACATCCCATTTCAAAGCCGGGGCTCATTGCAAGCAAACAGTGGGGCAACCGATTGTCGCCAAGAACTGGCGCTTGAAGCGTGCGTCCGGGTTGAAGGCCATTGAAGTTGGAAGTGCGAACCCGCTCCAAGCAATCCCTGATTCACTGAATGATGATTCTCGCATTGAACCCTTCAGTGGAAAGGTGTGCGCCGTGAACATCTTTAGCCTTGGTGTAAACCGCTTCTGCGAGCACGGCAACCCCATTGCCTTCCTCCAGCTACTGAAGTTATCAATAAAAAGACGTGTTCAGCGCGCCCCTCACATCTTCAGGAGTTGCCGGCCCAAAGACTCCCATGCAGATCAGCATCAGCCTCACGCTCAGACTTAATCAGCTGACTCCCTTTTTTAAGATTCCACATCGACAGGGTGCCTCAAGAGGTCAGTCAAGTTGACCCCCATATTAGTTTGTCCTTTCAAGGCAATGCAGCAATCATATATGGGTTAATCCTCGAGCCGTCTTCCGAACAAGCTCGGCCCCGATTCCAACGCAATAGTCATCAACAACGGTGAAAAAGCATTGTTCAATTTCACGGGACCCCTCAACCCAGTTGGCCCATTGGTTCTTGCGGGGTTGCTCTGATTGCGTGTGCCCATTTGCCTTTTTCAAGGTAGCCCTTTCGGGAAAATCCTGGGCCATTCCAACGTCCGATGTTCAGAGCCAGCCAGCTTCTATGAATGGAGCGCGAGCATTATAAGTGATCTTTGGATGGTTCGGGGTCACTCCAACTTGCCTGAGAAGCAGCAAGCGCTTGGAATTATGGAGTGTAACACGTTAAGAACTTCAATCTCTGATCCCACCAAAACGGAAAACCATTTGAGAGACACATGGATCTGATTTCACCTGGGACCCCAGCGCGCTCTCGAGACGCCCAAACTTGGACCAGGTGATTGTGATGCCGGGCTTCCCCCGTGAAAAGGCCGGGGAGCCTGTGAAGAAAGCATTGTAGGTGGCGCCTCAAAATCTATCCTTTCCAAAAAAGAAAGGCCCACAAAAAAGGCTCCTGAAACTGCAGGGTCAAACCAATATTGAATCGATCTCTCCGGATCTCGGATGGTCGGCAACCGGGCAAAGTCAGAAATATACATGGTATAATTTGGGCCTGGTAACAAAATGCCAATGGTGGATGCCTTGCTTCCCGGCTTTGGGCACACATAGTCTGGCACCCTTTGCGTCCATGACCTGGGTGTTGGAGTTCTAACTCCAAAACACAACACGGAATGCATGCATGCATGCATTCCCAGCAATGTTATCAAACTTAATCAAGCTGGCAGGTAGACACATCGTCAGGGACATACAGATCAAGCCTTCTCTTGTTCAGGTGCAGAACGAGGTTGAGGTTTTTGTTCACGCGTTTCTTCCGAAAGCCACTGGCGCTTTTTCTTTTCAGGCACCTTCTCTGCCGCTTCTTGTGGATCCTGAGCAGAGGCTGCGGGGCCCGCGCGGCCCAGGAATCAGCTTTTATCATCATGTGCTACTCGATCCAACTCAACGGTGCGATCCTGGGGCAGGTGCGCACACACAACACATCACAACACACAAGTGCATGCACATAAGCGTCATAAAAGTGCACAATGCGCATGTTCCCACATGCACACAGCATTGCAACTCTTGCGGTTACCGTGCAAGGCTCCTTGAAAGTTCCCTTTGTCGTTGGTGGCTCATCTTGGTCGCTGTGATTTTGAGTGTCATCATCAGGGCGTCTGATTCCTGATGATGACGGTGTTGCCTCGGTCGGCTTTGGCCACTGAACTGTAAACTTTTCCCGCCCGCTCCAGCGCGTAGGGGGTTCAAGGCTGGCAGATGAGTTGCATTGGGATTTTTTCAGTTCTGGGCCCACAGTTCTGTTTTTTCTCACCTCTTCAAGCTCTGCGTTCCACTCGTCGCCAAGGCTTAACGTAGTCCCTCGCAGAAGCTGAATCTCATTTTCAGTAAATTGCCTTGCTGGCTTGCTAGGCTCCTGCTGTAAACTCCTCCTCTTCAATTATCACATTTTCCTCAATTTCTTCCGCAGCATTCTCCTCCTCAGCTGCAACCGGGAAGTGCGTTAACGCTTCAACATGCAATGCAAGCTCATGAGCTCAGATCACGATGAACACCGCACGCATGCTTGATACAAATTTGCATGAATGTTGCCACATGCGCCGTACTACTACCAGCCTGCAATCACGATTTGCTTCCTCCTTCTCAGGATTCCATTCTCCTGCGCGCGTGCGTGCTTGCATGCAGCATGCCGTGCTCAGCATAGCACTCCTTAAAGACCTGAACCACCAACTGCTTGAGCTCCGCCATGCGCGCGTGACCTCCTCCAGAATCACGCATGCATGCAGGCTCTAGAGACACATGATTTTGCACGCTCATGGGCTCCTGGTGTTCAAGGTTCCCCCAACCCGCGTCACGATCTAGCTCACCAGGTCACGGTGGAGGTTACCCTCCGTCGTTGCCCACTCCTGCGCGCGCTGATGCATTGGCGACTTACAGTACCACTCGCCATCGACAGCATTCATGAACGCAAACGATGTCTGAAGCGCAAACGCATTTTCAAGTACACTCATTTTCGGTCGGGACATTTGCAGCGAAAGATTTGAGCCATTTCTGGCTCCATTCAAAATTGCCCTCGTCCTCCACCTGCACACGCACGCACCGATGCTGATTAAGTTACACATGCATGCAGAGATCGAAAGATCCGCAAAATCTTGCAACTTATCAGGCATGCACACACGCCGACTAGACTGCTTGCGCCTCTGCTTCTCCAATCTTGTCAGTCACGATGTTGACAGAGGAAAATGAGGACATGATCTAACCGGAACCCAGACTCGCACACGTGCACACACACACAAGCCATGACCACACCGCGGCACCGTTTCACATGGAAAAAAAGCTCATGACACCAAATTGCAAAGCATGCTTAATATGGGGTTCTTTCAACTGAGATACCCGATTTTCTGAAAGGAGCCGTTTGATGCGGCTGTCTGCCAATCCGGCTTGCCGGCCTAGGGCATAGAATCTCTTCTCCCTGAAGCAGTCTTAGTTGAGCCTGTTCATGTAAAACTCCTGCCCGAATCCGAACCGAGCTGTTTAAACATGAAGCCAAGAGGGTCCCCTTCCTCAGGTAAATTGGTTGCCCTTTAGTCTTGAAAACCATCGCGTTGGGTTCACGTCTTCAGGTTCTGAATCCATCCTGTGCCACGATCAAAACTCGATCCTTCTTAATTTCACTTCGGGGGTCAGCTGCGTGCATGTGATCGTAAATGACATTAAAATATGTACCGTGTACATGTGCATGCACGAATGTCAGCCGTACGTACCATGGATCGAACTGAGTCGTGCCCGGAGCAACTCGATGCGGCGCAGGCATGGCTTCACTCGCGGCATTGCGGAAAAAGGGCCATACCGGCCGGCCGCTGTCGACGATGTCGATGCCAGATACTGCAGAGTTGAAATATGTCATGTCTATCTCGATCTGACCTAGCTCGATCGACGATCGATCGATATTATTAGATCTTGAGTCTCCATGATCCATGCATGCATGCATCATTCTTAAATGGCCGGGTGAGCCATCGTCGATGCATCAAGTGCATGCGTGTGACAAACTGTGTAAATCAAATCATGGCCGCGTGCATGCATGCACGCATGTGCTAGCTCATGTGTCGATGGATGTTTATACAATTGCAACGGGCGTGGCTTTTTTTAGGGATCTCAAAATTCTGAATTAGTCCCCCCAAACAAATCGATCGACGTAGGGCAAGGCGGTGGCACCTTCGCAGAACTTGAACCTCTGGTCCGCATCCAAAACGCCTCGGGCCGGTGCATGCGTGCAGCAGGGACCGTAAAGGAAAACATAGGGAAACCCGTAGACGATTTACTTTTGCCACCCCCTTGCACGCACAATTCCCCAAGTGCCCGGCGTTTCCGCAATGCCTTCTTCATTGGCAATGATGCAGCCTTACCAGCAGTGACGAATTTCTTGCTAGCTTGCATACAGGACATATGCGTGCGTGCAAATGCTCAGACGCTGGCGCATATCGATCTGCATCATGTAGGCCAGCACCATGTTGACACATGGCGTATGACGAATCGATCGATTTGTGCACTGCATGAACCACCCAGCCAAGTTCTTGCATGGCATGCATGCCTGCATGTGCATGCTATAAACTTCATGATCATGTCATATGCGTGCATGCAACTTGGCCACCAGGCCGATCATAGTACATGAAACTCTGAGCCCAACTCAAACAAAAAGAGACTCCAACGCACGATTTCCCCGTTCAGGTCTTTTGAGGGAAACACCGTCTTTCCGTAAAGACATAGTTTACCAACGTCTTGGAAGTACTGGGTATATATGTATATATATATATATATATATATTTATGTATATATGATGCAGACAGAATAAATATATATATATGATACAGTCGCTAACATACAGGATTATATATATATATAGGGAGAGAGAGAGAGAGAGAGATGTATATGAACCAAGCAAACCCCACAAACTAAACGGATCGAATCCCAATTCCGCATGGCAAAGGCTTTCCGTGGTAGACCCGTATGGCTTCAAAGGGAGACCAAAAGGAACAAACCCAAGGGGTCCTTTTGGAGCAACACCCTAGTGGATTGGATCGCTGGGATTCAATTGCTTGATTGATTGAACGAAAAGGGTACTTTCAGGGCCCATTCCAAACCCTTAAAACGAGGAATCCCCAAGCAAACGGCCTACATCATGGCCAGCTTGTTGCCCCCCCCCCACCCCCCAAATCGCCCGAAACCCATGAAACAGGCGGACCGCATGAGTGTTTGAACGGCATTGGTATATAGCAAGCAACTTGTTTCCGCAGGCACCCGTTAACATGAACATAACAAACTAAAAACTGAAACTGTGAAGTTGCAGCAAGTCGGACGCTGAGCTCGATGCCGGATTTCCTATTTCCACGCCTGGAAGTGCATGGGGTCTGAGAGTTTGTCCTTCTTCAAGGTGTTGACGATGATCGGCACAGCCACCTCTGCGAAAGGTTCCGACCGGACTGCTTTTTGCAGTACCATAGTACCTGGACCCTAAAATCGCCCCCTACCTGCCCCGGACATTTTTACAGGACACACCCAATGTCTGGCAGCACACTGTCCATGGACTGTTGACAAAGGAACCGAAGGCGCTGCACCTGTTGCCAGTGGAGCCAATTGCCACAAAGATTGGCAGGCACGGCAGCTGGGCACGTTTCCTCGCCATTTGGCCTACAGATCTGAGTCTCCTTCCAGCCCTGAAAAAGACTTGCTCAGAACAAAGCTTGCGGATCTTTCACTTTGCTTGATGGTTTCTCAAGCTGTTGGAGGCCTTGATAGGGTAAACATCGGCCGCAAACCAACATCCTTAGGCGCGAATTCGCGAATGCGCGAATCCAATCTGTTGGACCTACGGACCCTTTCCCGTCAGCACACTGAACGTGAACCCAAAGTGACTCTGATTCCATGTTCCCACCCGAAAATCTGTGAAATTGTTGGGGAGACCTCAGCTATGCGACAGGCAGCAGCACTCCAGGCAAAGCTCGGATTCACTAGAGTTGGTTCCGTGGTTTGGGACCAACCCTCGTGTCAACACTGTGGGTGTTCGACGATTTCTGAAAGCCCGCCAATTCCTGGTATTTTAGGGCCAATGTGCTCCATCCCCGTGGCTGTTGACAGAAAACTGACCGTTGCTCACGTGGGTGTAGCTCAAAATTAAGGAACTAGGGTTACGCAGGTTTTAGTCTTCGGTTCCAATTGCCAAGCTGCCATTTTGGTACATGTTTTTGAGCCTTTCCCACGTGGATCCTCCCAAGCAAAACACACCAAACACGCTCGAGACATTTGAGAGCGGCGCCCCATAGAGGGAGGGGAAGAGCAACGCGCCTCAGTGCGGGAAGCTGCTCAGAGCGGGAAGCTGTACTCCGCGTACAAAAGAAACAAACAAGGGTCCCCCAAAAACCCAAGACCGACATCAGACCCCCTGGTCATTTCCGCTATTCTTGACGGGGCTTTCGAGACAGGCGGTGCCCAAGTATCCCCAACAGCCAACATGTGGAACACTCCGGATTTGTCTTCATATTTTGTCTTACCTAAAATATAAAGTAGTTCTATAGAGGAGACCCCTTCCTGCTCTTTGCTTTCCGCAATTCCGCAGTATGGGGTCCCTGCCAGCATCAGAGGTTCCTCTAAAAACACCCCCAAAAAGGGCATCATGGGAAAATATCAAGAACCTTGAGCATTCTAGGCTGTACTCCCGGGTATCCTTCTTTTCAGGAAATCCCCCAAAACCCTGAGGGAGACCAACCAGGATTTGCCCTCGAATAGCTCCGTTTCTTTTAGGCCCAAGCAGTAGCCATAAGCCTTTGGGTTTGCCAAACCAAAAATAAGAGATGGATCCAACTAAAGGATGCCCCGGCACTGGTGGAATCGCTCTCAAAATCCAGAAAATGGACGGACTTGTGTGACCCATATTCACCTCCTGATTGGATTGGCCAGAAAAGTCCAAACTATGGATTTCCCACCCAAATTGTCCTCCCAAAAAGTATCAAGTCTAGCAAAAAAGACAGGGTGAGTATATTGGGGTTGAGCCTCTTAGTCAGTATAATGTCATATACAAGATGCGGATGTCCACCAAGTTCTCCCCATATTAAAGTCATTGGCTGATGAGCGTGCCGTTCTGTGATGGTACCCTGTGCCCCCCCCCCGCCGATTTGAAGATCAGATGGGTATATCCCAAAGGAGGATTCAAACAGCAAACGGGGTGGATCCAGATCCGTTTTGGGTGTCCTGGCCGTTTCCCTGTAGACACCATCCAATTTTGTTCAACCACCATTACAACAATGGGGTAAATAATACAATATAACCACCACGTTTGAAGGAGCGTCATCTAGTTTGGGTCCTTGCCAATATTTCAAATATATTGTCAATCCTTTCTGGCACCCTTGGACCTGCTTTCTTCTCCAAAAGCTGGAAGATTGAGCTGCCTACGGACCGAAGACAACTAGCTGGACCTTGGGAAGTCTTGGGCCTCGCGTTCCGCACGTGTTTTTTTCCATGCAAACTAGACTATCTCCGTGAAACGGGGGCCATTCGCGCTTCAATTGGCCCAGTGCCCCGGGCAGAGAGAAGCTGCGGTGGATTCTTTTATTCATATCTAGGCGTCTTTTTTTAAAGAGACCCCCTCAAATCGTGGCTATCCTTTTGGTTTTCCTTTTGGCTTTCCTTTTGGTTGTCCTTTGAAACACAAGCAAATGGGCACTAGTACAAACTCTAGAAAAAGCAGAGAAACCTCGAATCACGGCTGCCCCGTTGGTAGATACACCCCGTTTGGGAGTCACCATGTGTTCAGGCTTCATGCTGGCCAAGACAAAAGACACCTTAGCTGTTTCAAAGGGTTTCTACATGCACCAGAGAATTTGTGGGCAAGGGGTGGAATCCACTGAAGAGGAAGCGCAGATCTCCGCTCATGCCCGGCTTTGGCTGGTGAGACGGCGAAGAACTTACCACTCTCAAAACCCTGGTATTTAAGGGGATGCCTCAATAATTGGAATGGGTTCGTTGGGTTAAGTCATGATCAAATGATCAAATGAGACGGTGGAGAGAGATAAACAGATGGGACACGCCTTTCACCAGCATAGAATGGTGGGGTGAAAGGGATGGCTCTCTTCCTTGTTGCATCCACGATGTGTTGCAACAAATTCCAAACACCTGAAATAAGAAATGATAAAGTCACGGAGCTACAGTATCGCCAGAAATCGCCACAAAAGTGGTTTCCCGAAACCCATGAAGAACTCGATGAGCCGGTCTCCGTGCATGTAAGACGAATGACTCCCCCCTCTCCAAGTACCAGAGTTCTGTTTGCGACACGCTTCCCAGTTGCCCAGTGATCGCCGCGGAGTGCCGCAAAAGGGAGTTTGGGTAAGCTATTCCTGGCTAAGGCTGGAATCCACCTAGGTCCTCCAGTAGACAGGTTAGAATAAGTGTACCCTGTTTTTCTCTAGTCTATTTTAGTAGGGGAACCCTCCCCCAAAAAAGGGTAAAAGGGCACTCCTGGGGGACCTAGCCACTGAATTGGACAACTGGTTGGCATGAGGACCGAATCCCAAGCCCCCTTCAAGCGCTGACGTTCGGATCCTGGTCACGAGACGGATGCCCGAAATATTGCAATCGAGAAAGGACAGTATTCCATTAAAAAGAAGAAGAAGCACAGAACAATGCCGTGCTTGTGTGGTTGAGTATGGTTTGCTATGCTTTACTACGTTTACTTGCAAGGATGGACTAACTCCTACCCCAGCTGGGATGGATGAAGCCCCAGTTTCAAGTGTGCAGGATTTTGTCCTTCTACAGCATAACAAAACGGCATCCACTGAGGAGGCAAAAGGGCAAGCGGGCCTTTGCAGGTTTTGTGGCACTGCGAAGTGGAGCCATCATCCGAGTGAGTTAGGTGCAAAGGGCCCAATGGCAGGAAACCACAAGGTCGAAAGGTCAGCTTGAGACATGTTTTACAACGGCCTAAATCATTTGTACACGGCTGCGTACCGTGAAACCAGACTTAGGCATGATTACAGGACACTGATAAACAATTATTTACACTAGGGCCTTATCCTAAGCTACGACAAAAGGATCAGACAACAAACGCAACCAACAGACGAACTACAACAGGACGACCCCCAAAACGCAACACGTGAGCCAACCAGCCAAGCCAAACCACCCGATGGAGCGAGCCAAAAACGGGCGAGCGGTCCTCGTGGCCGCAGGGTCCCAAGGAGATGCAGGCCACGTCGTAGACCTGTCCAAAGAGGATCCATGGACCATCCACGGAACATGTCAACCTGTGGATGGACGAAATCCTCTTAGGCACCACCGTTCAGAAACCCTGGAATGGCAACTACCTTGTTTTCCCATGGTTTCCAAGTGGTGCAGGATTTCGTCTATCCACAGTATGGGGCTGATGGAGGGAAGGCAAGCTGTGCTTCGTGTTTAGATGCTTGCAACATTCCGTGGGATCGTGTGTGTCGTTGGATCCAAAAGGGACCAACCAGACATTTCTATGTGGTTTTCATAGGGGTGAGTTCTGTTGACCCCAGTGATGTCATTTGCCTTCTAGCTTCGACTCTAAACTCTTTGGGATTCTTGGAGTTCGCTTGGGTTTGCACCAGGAACCGAAAAGCCCTTCCCGGTTCCGGTTCAGAGGAGCCAGATTCCCGGCCCATCCAACCCCCACCCCAACCCTAAAATTCCCTTTGGGCCAGCATGGGATTGACCTAACTTGGCCTGGGTCACAACCCATCCCCCCACCCCCGCCCCACCCCCCACAAAGACGTCTGCATCCAAAAAAACAGTAAAACCTCTGCCTCTTTGTTTCGTTGGACTTTTTGGGTGGCTTGGGGCTCCGCTGCCCAGTGGCCAGGGGAAAAAATGCATTTTTTTGGGGGGTTGCCTTCCCGAAAAAAGAAGGAATAAAGGGCATTACTGGGCGACTGGGGGAACTCTCCTTCAAGTTCTCCATGTGAAGATGTCGGCATGCGCTGAGATGAGGAAATGCTCTTGGGGAGGCCTTGTCCTTGTCGCTTGGAAGGCGCGCGTGCCCTTCAGCGGGCGCGCTTCTCATTTGGCACGCGCTGTGCCAAAAACAAGATGTTCAGAGTCTAGTGAATATTCAATCTATCTTCTGAGACTCCAGACAAAAGACTATGAACATGAGTTACTTGAGCAAAACACAATATTGTTTTGTTGAGCAAATGACCCATGTTCCGAGACCCCAGAGGCAACACGACTCGACGACGATTTTTGCGCGCGGGCAAGGGCCCACATGCCAACGGAGGCAAGCAAAGGAACCGCCTGTTAAACATGGGAACAAAACGAGACGAAAGTGGCTGATTACAGTGGGAAGTGGGATGCACTGGGCTTGTGCTTCATTTTCCAACACAAAAGCCTTGGGCCAAATCAAATCGGATTGAGCGCGGTTGTTTTCTGAGTGGCTTGAACCTCCGAGCACATCTTTTCCGCCGGCAGTGGTCCCCCTCGAACCCCTGCGGCTTTTCCCCCCCGGAAAAAGCCTTGCGGTAGTTGATCACCAGGCGCGGGTCGTCGGGCGCGAACTCCTTGGCGGCCTGAAGGAACGAAGGAGCCATCCGTCCATCCCAGTGCTTCCGGGCAAGCCACGTATTGTTCGTTAACCAGTGTTTGCACCTCCAGGTTTTACATGATGGTTGCTCCTTACTAGATCGTGGCTTGCCTGGAAGCACTGGGTATCATGTCCACTGATTCATGTGAACCTGCTTGGAGCTCACATGGCTGCGAGTTGAGGGCTCTGCTCGGGGTGGCGAGCTTCAAAATGGGGAATCGGACGCCTTCGGGGCTCCTTGTTCATTAGGAGAGTAATGTTTGTCAGGTTTCGGAAACTCATGTCACCGCTTCAAACATGGCTACGAGTGCTGCTCCAACTCAGTCCAACTAAAAAGGAAAACTATGTTACCCACAAGCTTGGCAAAACAACAATGCCCCATACAATTGTTCAGGGCAGTGCAAAAAAACGCCTCCATGCTGCGCCCATCATCTTTCCCTTGGTCCAAAAAAAAAGAAGAAGAAGAAAAAAAACGGACTCAAAAACCGGAGACAGCACCTCCTCCACAGCCCAACGCCCGCCGCACCGCCGCCACTTTTCTCCCGGCCCGAACTGCGCCGCCACCTGCGCGCAGTACGCCTCGGCGCCGCTTCCGGACGCGCCGAGGGCGCGGGCCACCTGGGCGCTGTGGACGCCCAGGGCCACCTGACCGGGCACCGACTGATCCAACACAGCGGGACCTGTGCCCTCTTTCAGGGGTGGCCAGGCCTGGGTGATGATTTGAACCACGGGTTTTGTGGTGTTTTTGTTTTAGAGAAGACAGGAGGAGATTGCTTAGGTCCTCCAGTAGAGAGGTTAGAATAAGGGTACCCTTTTTTAGTAGGGGAACCCTCCCCCAAAAACAAAGGTAAAAGGGCACTACTGGGGGACCTAGTTAGGCAAGGGGGTTCTATCTCCTAAGATGACATTGTTCGAACAAGCGTGGCTTGGACAGCTGGGGTAAGACCGGTGCGATGCCCCGTAGTTTGTGGGTTGGATTGGTGTTGTTTGGAAATTTGAGCCCCTGGTCCTTGCAAAAGGAACATTACATGGGAAACCACCGCCTCCAAACAAATAGAGGGAAGCTGAGGTGGGTGTTTCTGAAAATGCAGTTCGCCCCTCAAAGAGTCGTGGTTTTCCCTTTCCCCGTTGAAACCCCAGGCGATCTGACAGGTTCAACCTCTCCTCTGGACCCGTCCGTCCGGGTCCCACCTTCGCCTCGAGCCAGGGCTCCAGCGAGATGGTCCACGGGCCTAAGGTCCAGCCCCACACACCGAAGTGGTGGTCGAACAAATGCGATGATCCCACAAATCTAGGGGTACCTCCCCCATTCTTTCCAGGGATCCTTCTTTCTAGAAAACCTCCAGAAACCTGGAAAAAAGGCTGGTTTTCGAAAAGAACGATGGTTGAAAAGAATGGGGAAACAACCCCTAGAACAAAGAACACCAAAGATGTGGTTGACCTTGGGTTGACATCGGCAAAAAACAAAAATGACCATGGCCCAATTGTCCTACTTTAAAGTCAAGCTTCCCCCCACCTTCATCGGTGGTGAGTGGCCGACTTCTGGGGAATCGCGAAGATCGCCTGCCTTGAACCGCTGGTATTGCTGATAAACCGAAGTGTCTGGGCCGTGACTGTCAGGAAACTCATTCAAAAGTGGCCTTCCCAGACGGATCAAAAGTGGCCCGCGTTGCATAAGTGAAGGCAGCCTCCAAGAACCAATCAAACAAAAAGACACTGAAAGAAAGACCAGTCTCCAGTCGTAGGGAACCCCTACTCCAAGTTTCAGCGTATGTTTTTGGAAGCATCAAACTCTCCATGGCGAATACCTCCTTTTGAGTCCATCATACCCTGAAAGTGGGCATCGGAAGGGAGCAACACCCACTAACAATGGGTCTTTTTGGGGTGGTTAAGGACAAGAGCAACCCGCCAATTTTGAGAGTCCGTATGGGCTTGTCTCGAAATGCGGGAACCCCCCAAAACAGTTGGATTGCGTTTGGTCTCCCTTTAAAGGCAACCCAAGAGCTTGGTTGCTGTTGACCCCCCTGCAAAAAAATGTATATAACTTTTGGGGGTTTGGTGGAAAACCCCTTGATTTCCCGAAAAGTTAAAGTCGAAAGATCCAACCCAAGCGAGAGGGGGCTTCCCGCCCCCCCAATGAAGCGGGCACGCCCCATTCCAGCCCAGGCGCCGTTCGTCGTATTCGCGTGGTGGCGCACGCGGGCGCAGAAGGCTTCAGCGGCCGTGGCCAGGAGATCCGGCGGCCAGTGGGGCTCGAAGGGCAGAGGCAAGGACTCCGCCTCGCCGGGAAGGCTCGGGTCGCCCCGCACAGGCCGTGACGTCCAAAAAGGTGCTGGCAAATATGTGGTTGATAAGCGGGTTTCGGTTTTGTTGGTGATACACAATGGTTGTACCAGAAGTGGCAACTGTTGCTGGGTCAGGAAAAACAAAGGAAACCCAAAAGGGCAAAAGGCAGAGCACTTGGGCAACAGTTTGGCAATGGCTTCTCCCTGTCAGTCACATAGGAAAAGAGACCCCTTTGTTTACGATTTTTGTTTGGGGGGGGGGGGTTGGGCGCAAAGGAAAAAAGCGTTGGCACCTCTAAACAACTGCCTGGGCCTTTACACACCATCCCAAAATGGTGCAAAGCCTCAACAACCAACACCTGTAATGTTCAAAAATATCCGGCTCTCTGAAGATCTAGCGTGGCAAACCACACCAAAAGGGGTACCGAGCCTCCAAGTAGAAACTACTATAGTATCCAAATACAGGAAACACCACAAAACCCACCCTGAAAAGGATACCGAGCCTCAAACACACGCCCACATATCGGAATTTGTTAGAATACGCAGACGCTCCTGTGGACTCCTGCGGCTTGCAATGGTCCCCTCCGTTGGAAAACCGCGGATGGGTTGGGGTTTCAAACACCTGGCAGTTTGAGGGCCCAAACTAAATCGGGAACGTCTGGATAAGTCCAAAACTCTGAAACGAGAAATAAATCCCCAAGTAAAAGATCTTCATCATGGAGCTCGTTCTACCCCCCCGGATCGGTGAAATCGCTCAAAACCCATACAATCCATCAGGCATTCTTCCAAGAAACCCGAAACCCTCAGAGCACTCGTAGCTCACTGCTGTCAGCCTCCTCCGCACTTCTCACCTCCACCCATCGCGACATGTCTGCCAGCACAGACGTGGCCCGCCCAGCCACAGCCGTGAAGACATACCTATTGGCAATCTCAGGGACAGGCCGAAGGATGTGGGGAGCCCTCAGGCGAATGTTGTCACGAGTGCTTCCAGGACTTCCAGCCACTTTAGTGACCATTTGCCTGTGGCTCAAATAAATACCAAAATGGCACCTTGGAAAATGGAACCCAAGACTAAAACCTGCGGTTTGCCCCAGCTCTTTAGTTTTGAGCCACACCCATTTGTTTGCTTCGGGGTTTTACATGATGGGTTTCCCCGCTTGCCTAGTGGCTTGCCTGGCGGCACTGGGATGGGCTTGCAGGAGGCCAGCAAAGGGCCACGCCAAATTTATCTTAAGATCTTTCCGTTTGCCGGGCGCTAACGATTCGATGAGGATGCCCAAAAGAAACTGATAGGGAGAAACAAACGGGATGCTCGTGTGAGCCATCATGGTTCCCTTACTAAGCCTTCTTGCCGTACTTACCGTCGCAAAGACTCCAAGAAACCACTGAAAAGTGCAGCCTCCAAGAATATCCAAACATCACACCCTCAAAGACTTCCCTCATTTTTTTTTGGTGGGGGGGGGGGGGGACTTCGGGTGTTTTTTTCCCGTAAGAGGGAAGATCATGTACTATGTGGTTTGGAGCCCTGTGAGCTATTTATTTAAGTTGCAAGCTCAGTTTGCCAATTTAAATACCCATGATTTAAGTTGCAAGCTCTAGTTTGCCAATCTAAATACCCATGATTTAAGTTGCAAGCTCAGTTTGCCAATTTAAATACCCACGATTTAAGTTGCAAGCTCTAGTTTGCCAATTTAAATACCCATGATTTAAGTTGCAAGCTCAGCTTGGCAATTTAAATAACCACGGCTGAAAATGCAAGCTAAGTTTGCTGATTTAAATGGACCCCCCCCCCTTTTCCAATTCAAATAATTTAAATCATTTAAATGATTTAAATAATTTAAATAATTTAATTAATGTAAAGTATTTGAATTGGCCAACCCCCCTTTTCCAATTCAAATAATTTAAATAGTTTAAATAATTTAAATAATTTAAATAATTTAATTAATTTAAATTATTTGAATTGGCAAACCTCCCTTTTCCAATTCAAATAATTTAAATAATTTAAATAATATAAATATTTTAATTAATTTAAATTGATTGAATTGGCCAACCTCCCTTTTCCAATTTAAATAATTTAAATAATTTAAATAATTTAAATAATTTAAATAATTTAAATAATTTAAATAATTTAACCAATTTAAATTAATTGAATTGGCCAACCTCCCTTTTCCAATTTAAATAATTTAAATAATTTAAATAATTTAAATAACATCATATTCATCGAACAATTGAAATAATGTAATATAATGATTTTTAATCATTATTTTCCCCTGTATTAAATGTGTTGATTGGCAAACCACCCTTTTCCAATTCAAATAATTTAAATAATTTAAATAATTAAAATACTTAAATTATTTAAATTATTTAAATTATTTAAATTATTTGAATTGGAAAAGGGAGGTTTGCCAATTCAAATAATTTAAATAATTTAAATATTTTAATTAACTTAAATTATTTAAATTATTTAAATTATTTAAATTATTTAAATTATTTAAATTATTTAAATTGGAAAAGGGAGATTGGCCAATTCAAATAATTTAAGTTAAATAAATTATTTAAATTTTTTAAATTATTTAAATTATTTAAATTATTTGAATTGGAAAAGGGGGGTTGGCCAATTCAAATAATTTAAATTAATTAAATTAATTAAATTATTTAAATTATTTAAATTATTTAAATTATTTGAATTGGAAAAGGGAGGTTTGCCAATTCAAATAATTTAAATTATTTAAATTATTTAAATTATTTAAATTATTTAAATTATTTAAATTATTTAAATTACTTAAATTATTTGAATTGGAAAAGGGGGGT